CTTTATGAAGGACGTAGCATTTGGATTCCAATTCACGCTTAGGATTCGAGTAACGAAATTTCAGAAATTGCTCTGAGAATGTGTGATGGACAATCAGGATTTGATGGAAATAGTCTTGCTTTTCCTTATCTTTCTCTTATCTTTTATTTTCATCATTTATTTATTCTTTCTTTTTCATTCAGTTCTTTCCAAACCTATTTGAATTCAGTCAGAACTATAAAAGAATCAATCCAATGAGTCGTATTTGTAGGACGTTTGTTGACAAATAATGAGAAGTTGTGTAATGAAACACTGCTGAATTACAGCTTCTAATTATTACAACAGTACTACTCATTTAAAAATAGTATTTGTTCAAAAGATTATGGAAGTCAAATGTTGAAATTTCGACATTAAAAGTATTTGATTTCATGTTTAAAGTAACTATTAATTCAGGTTTTTAATCCTATCGAAGAGCAGTGCTTTGACTGAGAAACTTTTGCCTTCATTCACTCTTCCTCACAGAATTTTGATTTTAATTTTATTCCTTATTTTTGTGCAAGACGATATGAATAATTGCATAACTAAAACGATTGAAAATACATGTCTTTTATTCGTCAATATTTTAACAATAAATATTTTTCAATTATGTAAAATTATCACAAGATACTACAATCAACAATATGTTAATCAAACAATTTACACGTGAACAGTTCACGTTTTTAAACTTTGTATAGTCAGCATCCCACTTGTATGTCTCGTCCCGAATTCCTAAAACTAAGTTGAAGAAATTATTAGAAATCTAAATTTGCATTGAACAATAAAAATGTATACAATGATTGCACGACATACCGAACTGACGAAATAATTTATATTTTTATAATTGCTATCTCAAATAGACCAGTCATGCAGTCGTTCAACTGATTACAAAATATCTTTAAACTAAACAAGACAACGAGTTACACGCTACGGCCGCATTAAAAATTGAAATAAAATTGGTGACATCGCTTTATGGTGTCGTGTTGGGATTAGCGACGTGGTGGTTGGTGGAATATGGGTGTGGTGAAGTTTTATCATAGCAGTGGTTGAGAGCAAGGTTCTAATTTCCTCACAATTAATTATTATTTTAATACCGATTTACCAATGAAATTGTGATTTTGATTCAAGTGCTATGGAACAAATATTCGGTACCATTACAGATTGATTCTGTCCATCAAACGTCTCATTTTTTTTCTTCCGTCAGAAATTTTTCATTATATGGAATTTTGTAGTGATATATTTACTTTATTTAGTTTACCGTCGTGTTAGGTCTAACGTACTTCTCCAACATGTGTTAAGAATAGTAAATGTGAAAAAATACTTTGCGTTATAGAATTCTTCAGGCATTGATAATGATAGGTTGTTGAATTTCATAAATGTACACTGACTTTTCTAGCTATGTTTTTGGAGTTTTTGTTGGTCTCAGCCTTATTCATAGCTGCAACTACATCTCAAATTCATGATGGATTTGTAACCTGTGGGTCAGTTATGAAGCTAAAGAATAATCAGAAAGGTCAGAAAGACGAATTCATTAAATTTTATAAAATATGAATTTAAGGATGTAAAAAATCAGTTTCTTGTCGGTTCTGCATTTTGGCCAAAAATATACCTTTCTGTATACTGCAAAATATATTCTTAGTTTGGTCATATGACTTCCGATATTTGGTATTCAGTGTTCAGGTGTTCGTCTACATTCACATGACATAAAATACGGATCTGGTAGTGGCCAGCAATCAGTAACTGCCGTACAAGATGGAGATGACGTGAATTCTCATTGGCAAATTCTTGCCTGTGAGTTTTATTGATTTCTTTCGTCCAATTCTTGAATCGAAAAACTATGTATGTTATTTTGCATACAAGTTTAATAGCACCTGAACAACACAGTCATTTTTTTATTTCATTCTTCTAATTCAGCAATGAAAGGAACTTGCAAGCGAGGAGAACCAGTGAAATGTGGTAGTAAAATACGTTTAAAACATTTGACGACTGGTTGCCATCTTCATAGTCACCTATTCGCTGCACCACTCACAAAGGAAGACCAAGTGATTATTATATTTTCTGGCCATAATATCAGCTTCTCATTATATTGTACAAAGAGAGAATAGTAAATGAGTTGATATGCTCCCATTCCTCTTTGCTTTTTTTACGAAAATATTTAAATAAAGTGATTTTTTTGAAGGAAGTATCGTGTTTTGGAAACAATGAAAGTGATTCCGGTGATAACTGGGTGGTCATATGTAGTAATAATGCATGGCTTAGGAAGGATGCTGTGAAGTTGAAGCATGAAGACACTGGTTTGTATTAGCATTCCTATTTCTTAATTTGAATGTTCCTATTTGTTAGTTTCGATAGAAGCCAAATGAAAATTCATAGTCTTTTTTTAATATCTAGTGGGTATTTATGGTATCTCTGTCACATATTTTGGGTTTTACCGATTGTAGTTTCAGTATTTACCAACTTTTTATGGGCTGTAATTTCAGGCAAATTTTTGGCAATAAGTGGCAAACAGTACGGAAGACCTATAAATGGGCAGTATGAGGTGGTGGCCGTTTCTACATCGAAAAATGCAGCCTTATGGAAAACCGCTGAAGGTATTTTCATGGTAGGTTCAAACACTCCTTAATATAGCGCAGCTGCATCGACTGAATAACTTGAACGATCTAACACTTCGCTATTGAGTCAATGGCTATGGCTTACCAACGACATACATATTTATACAAGTAATTGTATATCTTGTTTTTTGGGAATTAGTGCTCATGTTTTGTATTCATCTAAATTTTAGTAGTGACAAACTGGGCTTTGTCTCTATTTATATATATGGTTGGTAAATTTTGCTTTATTGATTAAATATGGTGATTTATCAGTTTCACACTTCAATAAAGCAAAGAAAATAATATATTGTCAATTCTTTCTTTTTGCCATTGATTGTTGTTGCTTTTTCTTGTTATTTCACCTCACCGCTAAGAGTTGCATTTGTTAAGGTATTTTTTAGGAACATTATAGCACAAACCTCAGAAAAAACTTTTAAACATGAAATAGTAGCGATTTGCAAAGTAATTTTTAAAAATTTCTAAATAAGCTATGTATTATTAGGTTGCAGCAATTATTGAAATTTTACTTCTGCTTTTTCTAAGTACTGTGTGTTTTGGAAATTGGTTACATCAATTGCCGGACATTTCGATAATTTTCCATATGCAGAGATTTTTTCAATAGTTCATTATATACCTTTCAGGGAAAATTGTCGTTAATTGCAAACAAAATCATATTAAGGAATTTGTGATATTTCTTTAATTTATCCCTTTTGTATATTTCTGCCGTTTGTGATTATCTTGGGATCGCGGTTATTGCAATATTTGGTTTTATCCATTCGGGGGAGAATTGTTGGCGTATACACATTCAAACCCTGTTGCATATTGTCAATTTTTCTTGTATTATTTTATTTTTTCCTTATTATCATTAGCTTTCTTTGTTATGTGATCAAAGTTCAAGCCACTACTAAAGCTCACATGGAATCATGTATGCAGTGACTTTGTCACCTAATTTTTATAGTATTCGGTTATATTTGTTTCTATAAATAATTGAAAATTTTTGAGCAATTTGTATCTTTTATAAATCAAACCAAAGCGGATCGAAAAATCTGTACAATCCAAGCATAATAAAATTAGATTCAAGAAGTCGTTTAAAAGCTTATTTATCACAAGTTTTTGTTATAAAGTGTAATATGGAATGTTGCTATTATGAAGTATGAATAATAAATTTTCTATAAATGCTGTGTTTGGGACCATTAGATTTTACTTTGACATATGGTTTACTTGTTTGCG